AAAAAAAACCCTGTTGCATGTGTTTGCAATAGATGTACAGGCAGGGAATGGGTGAAACGGGAGAAAGCAACTTAAGGACAGTGCATCCACAAAAGGGTTAAACTGCTCTCAGAACCGTCTTGAGTATTATAATGCTGCCCTCAGGATCCTGGATCAGCCAACCATAGTTTATCCAGATGAAGTAATGCTTACAAGCTCACATGTGCATTGGTCAATGATGTTGTCACTCTGCATCATGGAGGGCAGTTGTGAACCAGAGGGAAAAGCAAAGGGGAAAAAAGACTGAGCTGGGGGTAGCAGAGGAATTAGATCACTGCTCACACACACACAGAGACATACACACACAGACATACCAACACAGACATACCGATACAGACATACCGACACACATACAAGCTTGCCTGCAGGCTCCTCCCACTGTGGAACAAACCCATTTAAAAACCCACACGTATAGATGTGTATGTATGTATATATGAATATATAGGTATCTATACGCACATATATACACACACATACCAAGTTAATTAAAAAACAATAACCCAAGTCCAAGACTGGAAAGTCAGCCCTCAATAGCTGATAGCTGTCCGCCAAAATGATAGCCTTTGTCAGGGGCTGGTGGGGAGTGCTGGAGAATGGCTCTGGCCTGCTGTCCTCAACTTTTCACTGTTCCAAATGCCCTCCAGTCTGAAGCGGCTGGGGTGAGTGTGATAACTGCGCTCTGCATTCATTTGTTCTGTTCCCCGAGATGTTGTATGTTTTAGTGGTTTTTTAAAATAAAATATATACACACACATATGTAAAAAAACAAACAAACAAAAAAAAGAAAGAAATCTGTCCAGATGTGCCAGTAAAAATCCTTAGTGCATTTTCCATCATTGGTGATTGCTCTTCATCTGAGATCCGTCTGCTTTGAAACATGTCCATTGCAACGATTGACCTCAGTCCGAGCCCTTTGCCCGTAACAGAACTGAGAAGGAAAAGGAGGACAATTCTCCTCACTTCCTCACCCCCCCAACTGATCCCTTCCCCCCAAAAAAAGGAAATTGGACCCATTTTTCTCTTTCCTATTTCCCATCCTGTCTTCTGCAGCAGGGAAGGCCTTGTCTTATCCCAGTTGCTTGTGGCTTCTTGTGGTTTTTTTTTAATGTTTTGTTTTCTTTCTTGGAAAATTTTAAAACATTGTTAATATATGAAAAGAGGGAAGCTGAGGGGAGGCTTTGGTGGGAGAAGGTCCAAGAAGAAAAGGCAAGCACCATTTGTTGTCCAAGTCAGGCACCGAGGCAGACGGACGAAGAGGAAAAGTTATCGCTCTGAGGACCCCATGGGGGCAATACAGCAAATATATTAAATAAACCTGGAAATGAAACAAAACCAGACATTGTATAAGACTAAAGCATCCATCTCCATCTGCTAGTCCCCTAAAAGCCTTAGAGACTAATCCACTGACATCCTCTGCTTTTCTCCAGCACAGACACAGCCACAGCCACAACCACAGCAAGGTTGGTGCTACAGCAAAAATAGCTTTACACCACCTTTGCTTTTGGATTTGTGTCTGCCTAGGGTCCAGAGGAGTTTCTGACTTAGACCAGGGCAGTCTTAGTGCTGAAAGCAGAAATAATAATAATGCTACCCAGGTATTTGCCATCATTTTTCACCAGAAGATCTCAAAGCAATTTACAGAAGAAGGCAGGACCATTACCATCCCATTTTATACGTAAGGACACTGAGGCATTGCGGGAAGTGACTTAATCAAAGTTGCTCAGCAGGCCCATATCAAAGCTGGAAATAGAAAACAAGTCTCCTGAGTCCCAGACTCGGGGCTCTATCCACTAGGAAACACAACTTCCTTTTAGATTAGAAGGCTCCTGGCTCCCAGTCCTGTGCACAGTCCTACACCCCATTTCTGTGAGAGACCTGTGAGAGGGCCCAGGCTCTCTGGTAAGGACCTGGGGCCAGCAGAAGAAGAATGAAGCCCCTAGAACTGAGAGGATGTCAGTCAAATTTACAGAGACACCAGTTCTCCTTTCCATATTCTTTGACCTTTGTTACGCTCTTAGACTTCCCACTAAGATGGTGATGCAGGCCAGAACACTGCTGTGCACATGTCCTTCTGCCATTTTAATCAAAAAACAAAAAATAAATCTAGGAAAAAAAAGGAAGCCCTCAGTACAGAGCACAAAATGGATGCTAGCTCTTCACCGTCAGTGCAGGCTCAGTATGCAAGGGGAATCAGAGCTAGCTCCACAAGAGAAACCAGTAATGTGATCTCCAAGGAGAGGAATCATACAGGGGACATAGTCTGGATGTCAGGCTGGTAGCAAGGTGATGGTGTGAAGCAGGGACTCCAGGGCAAAGTGCGGCTTCTCACCTCTGCCTGCTAGAGTTCAAGCATACTAAACAGGCCGTAGGATAAATTTACTTTGTTTTAGCCCAGCCCTGTTACTTTGTCAGACTACACAAATGATTCTCAACCAGGGTGCCAGGACACCCTGGGGTGCCTTGAGATCCTTTGAAGAGGGGCCTCAAAAAGTGTGAGGGGATAAATAAGGTGTGAGTAGATAAGTGTAAGCTCAGGCTCTCCCTGCCTAACTGCTCCTCCTGCCCCACTACCTGGTCCCTCTGCAAGGAGGAAGCCACTGTAATAAAGCAATTAGCTTTTGAAATGGGATGCCACTCAATTCACAAGAGTGATGGTGGGGTGCCTTCAGTCTAGTGAGGGGTGCCTGATGTTTAAAAAGGTTGAGAACTGCTGAACTGCACGGTTTAGTACTCCTGAGCATCTCTGTCCTGCCATCTACTAATAGGAGACGCAGAGTGAGGTGCATGGGCAGAGCTGAATGTGAGCCCCAGCATGGACACAGGAGCAAGCACTCTGGGAAGGAACTGAGGTTACATGAACAGAGGGGTGTGTGTGTGTGTGTGT